TGCTGTCATACACTATTATCTTCCGAATATATTGCTCTAGCCATATAATGCCGAAACCACAAGCCTACTGCAGCTCTATCTCTATCGGTGGGAGGTAGAAACTCTGTGCTTCCCGTCGTCAAACGCGCCAAGCACAAGCATACGAGAGGACCACAATCCCCTCTGGCTCCCGGCGATTGTTGTGGCGCGGTCTCGTCTCTGACAACTGTGACATTGAACTTCTTTGGCTTCTTGTGTCCAGAATGAGTCCAATAATTAATCCCATCCAAGAATTTAGCCAAATGAGAGCTCCATCCTTTGATCATATCTCTCAAATCAGACAGTGATATGTAATTTATCATGCTGTCATACACTATTATCTTCAGGGATGGGAGCTGAAGTTGGACGAGAAGCCAATGACGACGTTCCAAAACAGGGATAAACACCTGCAATCATAAGTTATAATTCATTTATTTGCGCACTTATTTATGAACACCTTTAAAAAATTTAAAAAATAAACACTAACCGTATCGACCTCCCACCATGCAGGATAAAGTTTAGCTTGTCCGTTGCCCAACGAAAATGATTCATCTCGTTGATTCTTCAAGTGAACTGCGTGAAAAGCCGCCGGCATTATTGTATATCGTGATTTTTTTTTATTTTTCCTAAGCTTCCTTATTATTAGCAGACGTGACACCCACGCATCGATATGCTGTTTTACAAAAAAATACATATATTAGTGAATTACATTAATTTTAAAAAAAATTAATCAAAATCATATATAAGACAAATATAATACTTACCTCCCCATCGAAATAGCCACTGTCTTCAACCCCTAATAGCACACCCCACCAAGACCGATCAAGCAACAAAAATATTTCATCGTTGAGTTTGCTTATGTCAGTATAACACCCTTGGCTCCGCTCATGTAGATAAAAATCAACTGCGGTCTTAGCCCAAAGGGTATTATCCACAATTGTTTCCGGTAGTTGTCTCCTCTCCACTTCAGATACCGGAAGGGTACTAGCCGGTAACTCATACGAGAGCCAACTCTCATCCATCATGTCCGGAACCGGTGGGGGTTTCTCAATACTTCGATATATTACCCCATGTGAATCGGGCTCTGGAATGGTGGGAGGGACCTCTTCAATGATGACAGTGGCCTCTTGAACGGTGAGGGGGGACTCTTGAGGGAGGATAGGGGCCTCTTGAACGATTGGAGGGGACTCTTGAGGGATGACAGGTGAGTCGGGCTTCTTCTTGCGGAGTCTTCGCACCATTGGGGTGAACGGAGACGTAATAGCACGTCCATGCCGTCTGATGCGTGAACTCCGTCGTGCAAGGAAAACCCGACGTAAAGCATCCACCTTATCGGGCCGCTAAAAAAAATTAATACATAAATTAGTAAATAAACAGACATGATATTAAACAAAGACAAATATGTTTCAAACTAGCATTGTATTCACCCAAGTCATTATTCTATCATAGTTCACAAAATGCTCAGATAACATTCCAGAAGTAAGCACTTATATAAATATTTAAAAGGACAACATATATAAACATTCCAGAAGAAGAATAGTTTACTTTCGCAGCACGAAACTTAAAATCGCAACGCGAAAAATGACTATCGCAACGCGGAAATGGCTATCGCAATGCGAAATGAAAATCGCAACGACAAAATCGCAATGCGAAATGAAATCGCAACGACAAAATCGCAACGCGAAACACAAATCGCATTGCGATTTTCATTTCGCGTTGCGATTTTGTCGTTGCGATTTTGTCGTTGCGATTTTCATTTCGCATTGCGATTTTGTCGTTGCGATTTTCATTTCGCATTGCGATAGCCATTTCCGCGTTGCGATAGTCATTTTCGTGTTGCGAAAGTAAACTATTCTTCTTCTGCAAATTGAAACTTGAATGGATTGCATTACTTCAACCAAAAGACAAAAACAAAACCAAAAACAAATACTAACAAAAACAGTTTAGCAGTATTGGCAGCAACCGAATGAATTACGAGTATGAAAAATCTTAAACTTACCTCGTTGCGTAGAGTATGAACCTCATTCTGAAACGATGCTACCATCTCATGTAGAGCGGCTACCTCACCGCGTAATGTAGACACCTCAACACGCCATGCACCATCGTCTTTGCGTAAAGTACCGACCTCCTCACGCAAGGCATTGACCTCATCACGTAACTCCCCTAACTCATCCCGTTGAGGTGGAGATGGAGAACAGGGAGATAAACGTCGTGGCATCTTTTCCGGTCGCCTATCTTGCGGTGATGGTGGAGAAGAGGCTTGATGATGTGACAGAATAGGTGATGGCTGTCGTTGTGGAGGTGTATAGTCGGGTCGATCAGATGATGGCTCTGGGTGAGGTGATAGCTCTGGGCGAGGTGATGGCTCCCGAAATGGAGGCTGCTCATCAACCGTTCCATCAAAAAAATGCTTACTAGCTTGCCACCAATCAGTGGCAAGCTCAGCTTCCATGAGTGTCAGCCTCTGTAGAGGAGTGTTGGCCTCCTAACAATATAAAAGCTCAAACAAAGTTAAACGTGTACTAGTAATAACTTGTTTATAAACATATGGTAGTATTTATGTTAACTTACATTATTTATTGTCGTATACCGTAGTAAATCTTTCCATTGCAAGGTTCGTTTCCTCTTCCAGGAAATAGCCCTGGGAATATCATTTGAAGTTTTTATTGCATATGTCTTCATGGCGGGAAAGGCCTCAAATATCCAAATCTACAATCAATATAATAACAAACATTAGTAATTGTTAAATAATTACTTATAATTTTGGAAACATTATATAAAAATTCTTACCTTAAAGGCCCAAATAAAGCCTGTCAAAGTGTATTTGGAACCATCGCCATGCAAACTTTTTCGATCATCCAAGGCAGACGATAACTTATTCCATGTAGCTTTCCATAAATACGAGCCCCACGGAAACAGGTTCCACGCATTTAGGTCTTCTACCAATTTGATTAGATCATTTGGAATAGGTTGTCTGGCCTCTCTGCCTAAAAAGCCGGCATGCAAAAGAATTATAAGGCATACTCGGACAACGTCGACGTCATCCATCCGAGTAAAACCATCTTTCTTATTCAACAATCTTGTCAGGTCTTCTACGTGTAGATTCGGCCTCTCCAGCTCAAGAAAAACCCGGGATAGCCATGATGGGCGGGTAATGTGTCTAGTGTACCGACCTACATCATCGTGTCTGAAGCGTAGACCGGTGATTAAGCAAAACTCCTCCCGTCCAAAACACGTATACGCCGGTGGAAAATCAAACCATATCTCTTCATCACGACGTTGTATAGTCTCTGGTAGATCGCTAGTCATGGTTTGAAGAAACAGGTGTGTCAACATCGCATCTCCACCGGGATGTTGTACTTTCAGCCATGGCCCGAAGCATGTATCCTCAAACATTTTTCTTTGTGCAGGTGAAAGCTTCGACGCAATTGTTTTGGCCAGGCTGACTTTATTTCTTAAGGTCAATTGAGTCGAATAAAAGTTCTACAAAAACAATAAACATACTAAGTTAGATATACCAAAAACTACACTATGAAGATATACCAAAAACAATAATAAACATAAAGAGTAGTAGTTTATTATTCAAACTTAAATTTGCAACACTGTGAATTTCGTATTTGTCTTTGTTTTTTGGTTGAAGTAATGCAATTCATTCAAGTTTCAATTTGCAGAAGAAGAATAGTTTCTGAAAATGAAAATCGCAACACGAAAATGACTATCGCAACGCGAATTTGACTATCGCAACGAGAGAATCGCAACGCGAAACTAAAATCGCGTTGCGATTCTCGGTTGATTTAATAAGCAATCTAAGTGAAATGGTTAATCTATTATTGAAATTACCAGTAAACTTATCATCAATTTCAATATGAAAAACCTAATAATAATACAAAAATTTCAAAAAGAAAATAATTAAAAAAACTAACCATCGTTGGTTGATTTGGTTGATTTTCCATTTCTGATTGTGAGGGTGGCTCTGAGAGATGGAGATAGACGGATTTCGCCGGAGATGGGGACGGATTTTGTCGGAGATGGGTGAGAGAGTGAGAGATGGAGATGGGACTGAGTTGTGATTTTAGGTTTTAGGTTATGAGTTGCGATTACGGGATATACTGTGGACGGTTCAGTGTTCCAATATATTAATATTCGTGTTTGGAATTTAAAAATAAAATACTTGGTCAGGATACTAATGGCGCTTTGAAAATCGCATTGCGATTATGTATTATCGCGTTGCGAAAGTCAGAATCGCGTTGCGAAAGTCAGTATCTCGTTGCGATTTTGTATTATCGCATTGCGATAGTAAGTATCGCATTGCGATAGTCAGTATCGCATTGCAATTTTCCCAATTCGCGTTGCGATTTACTTATTCGCATTGCGAATTGGGAAAATCGCAACGATACTGTAGACCATCGCAACGCGATTTTCAATTATCGCAACGCGAAATGCAACGCGAATTTGCGATAATGGAGATCGCGTTGCGAATTAGCGATCGCATTGCGATTTTGTTGGTCATTTTGGCAAATCCGGAAAAAGTTGGTTAAAATCGTATATTATATGAGATTTTTGGTCACTGAGGTTATTTTCTCTTAAAAAAATTAAAGGAGTATTAAAAAAAATAAAAACATTCTCTTCTATAAAATTAGATCTGGTTAGCACTCATCGAGTGTCCTTATTGGTAAAGAAGAGTGTTGTTCTCCCTATAAGTTTCCGGTTCGAGCAACATCTCTCTATTCGTGTCTTGCGTTTGCTCGAGTTGATTCCTTTGATCTCTCTATTTGTAGGTAAACTTGAAAGAATTGATGTTAATACTAGATTTAGCAGCAGCAAAAGCAAATCTTGATGCACCAACTTTACTTCAAAATTTGCAACTTTATTCAGTGTTCTTATAAAAGATGATAATACATCCATTTTAACTGAAACAGTGACTGTCACAAGAACTCACATTCTTAACATATAATCTCAGTGACATATAGATGAAAAAATGGTTTTAAAAAACAAAAGTAAATTCAGAAACCCAGATATGCTTCCTCCTCTGAACATAAATTAAACTCGGTGAAGTCCCTATCTTAGAGGAACAGGAGCCACCCGCCAAAGAGTGCCAAAACCAGCTGGCTCCATATGCCCATGTTCATTATCATATGGGACGATGAAGTTGAAGGTGAAGACTTGGATGGCGAAGCAGCTCCCTTGGAGTCTGCCGATGGAGCATCTGCAGAGGGTGTAATATCAGGGGCTGGGGCAGGGGCAGGCATCGGAGGTATATCTGTGCCGAAGATCGCCTCTGGAAGAAGTACCTTATCAACTTGATATATAGCAACAGGATCAGTCGAGTGCACAGCGCTGGTGACTTTTGTTCTGCTCCATCCCGAATTGAGGTGCACGGTGCCGGAATTGTCTGTGAAATTCAAAGTGTATTGGCCACCAGCAAGTGTACTGATAGGGCCTTTGGCACTGAGGTCGTTGAAGTCTGCAAGGGAGTAGAATTTGGGCATGGCATGGAAAAGGATGAGTGATTTAAGTTGGTCATCACTGAGATTGGATAAAGAAGGCTTCTTAAGGGCCTTGAATGCACTGTCCTTCGGCACAAAAATTGTAATGCCTTGTTCAGTGTAGTTGGCTTGGTTTTGGAAGGTATCCATGACTTTAGTGGATTCAAGATAGTCGAGGAAAGTGTGAAATGGACCAGCCACCGAGAGCAGATAAGTGAGGTTTACATATGCCGGTGAGGGTGCCGGTGCGGGTGTTAGACTGGGGCTCATTGCGGCAGGAGCCGGAGGACTAGCATCCTGACCATATGCCAAGGAGGAGCATAAGAGCAACACAGAACTACTAATCATAAAAATCCTGGAAAACTCCATTTCCAACCCCCAGAAATTTGGTTTTGCTTTAGTCGTGACCGCTCTCCAAATTCCTACAAAAACCACAATCTAGATCAGAATCTCAGAGCTCAATCTTCCGTATAAAACAAGTATGCATTATAAATAAGAGTAGATCTACAGTTTCCTGCAGGAATGAAAAGCAACTAAAAACCAGATCTTGAGTACCTCATCCAACAAATCAAATAATGAGAACACTCGTTAACCATAATAAGACAACAAGCTTAAAACAGGATCTAAAACAATGCAATTTCAGATGACATTGGAATTTGGAGATTGAGAACCATAAACAGAATTTATATATATGGTCACTTTTTTTTGTTCTTGAGCTCCTTCAACAAGCTCGCCAAATGCCCCAAGCAATCAACTTTCAGACAGAAACACATATCAAATCCATCGAATTTACAAAATGGCTTGAACTCAACCTTCCTTCTGCTGGGTACTTCATACTAGAAGTAAAGTAAGTTGTTCAAGAACCAAAAGTAGAAAAATGGAAGGAAGAAGAAACCACACAATGTACATCAACAGACATTTAAAGAAGAGATCTAGATATAGAGTAACACTCATTTAACTTGAAAGAAGAATGGATCAATAGAAGTCTTAAAGAAAACTAAAATGAGAGCTGACAGATGCAGGAAAGAGGAAACTAACCTGAGCAGGAGGAATCCAGAGAGAAAGTTTACTGCTCTGGGTACCAATGTAGCAGATTGAAATAAGCTGAGAGACAATATAAAGATGGGGTTTCCTTCTTCTAATATATATAATAATACAAACAAACAAATAAAGTTGTTCTATCTGTGTTGGCGTTTGTAAGAAAATTAGTACGTGAAAGAGATGTCGGTAACAATTTTTTTTTAAAAAAAAAGAAAATTCATGAATGAGATGGGGATTAATGAATGCTTCCTTAAAGGAAAAATAAAGCATTCTCGATTAGGCAACTCTTTCAAGTAAAGAGGACAATGTAGGCTTATTCCCCAAACATGTTACTGTCTGACCAAGATTTTCAAATAAACAATAGTAAATGAATTCAATTTCACAAAAATAAAATACAATGATCAAATTTTAAATTTTAAAATAATGCATCGACCTTTAATATATTTAAACCTAATTTGGTTATCTTTTGATATATTTAAAAAATCAAATATACATATATATATATATATATATAATAATTTCAAATATCAAACAAATAAAATTAAATAAATTCTAAATAGAAACACAAATATAAACCATCATCCAGCAAATCCAAAAAATATCTTGTCATACAATAAATAACAATAAACTATTTCAGCAATTGGTTTTAGTATTTAAAGAATAACAAGATATTAAAATTATATTAATACAAGTGTGTAGACAGGGGCTACTGTGCCCATGTTCCCCTAAACATTACTTTAATATATTTATTAAAATATTTTTAGAAGTTCAGTTTTACTTTTTTTTCCTCAAAAATTACGATTCTATCATAGTCTTCAAATCAGATTTTATATTCTCCCTAAAGCTAAACTGAATCAATAAAAAAAATTAACTTTTAAGAGATAAATATCAAATTTATATATAAAATTCGACCTAATATATAATATGATATATAAATTTTGATTCAATTATATATATGCAGTTTTGATTTAGTTGTACGCAATTTTAAAATAAATATATTCATGAATTTTTATATTGGATAAATATAATTAGTTATTTATACAATACAAAAACATAAATAATATTTATGAAAATTGATTTGAGTGGTCCGACCGGAATGGTTGTCGCATGTTTAGTGGTTGCTGCCAGCAGAAGAAGTCTGCATTGACAACTGTAAATCAACTAATTGTGCACGATACTCTTACTTTCCAATTCATATATTCAATTATATGCCTCTTTAAATTGATTCAATGCTTATGCATTTAACAACCAATTAATCATATTCTATAACTTAACAATATAATAAAATTAATGCACCTATTCTAAGGGACATGCCCATGACTTGCATATGCTTTTTGGTAAAAATGAAACAATTTTACATTCGGGTATTATTATTACTTATACATTTTATCACTTTAATCCGAATTTTATTTAAGAGTAACCCATGCTATAAAATGATGATGTATTGGTGAAAATTAAAGAAAATTTAGATTGAGTTTTGAAGATATCAAACTTTATAAATATGAATAATCATTGATAAAATCTAAAAGTTGTATTCTAAATCGAACTAGACTAGATTTGAACAAATATAAAATAATTAAGAATATTTTGACAACCTATATAATATGAAAAAAAAACAATTATATTTAAAGTAATTAATTTACACGATTATTAATTTTATTTAAATAATAATAATAATTTAAAATAAATATTAGAAATTTAATTTTTAGAATAATTTCAATTTTATAAAAATAAATAAATAAATATTTTATGATTTTATTTTATTTTTAAATGAAATGTAAATTATTTCTAGTTTAGTCTTCCGTTTTAATCCTATTTTAAGCTAAATATTAGTTTGGTCAGAAATGTAATAATTATATAATTTGATTTGTGGTTAAATATTTTTTGGTATAACCACCGATTTTTGATTTATTAATCGACTAGTTTGGATTGTGTATTATAGAGGGAATGACGATGTTCCTAACCCAATTTACTTTATTCGTAAACATCAAGATTTAAACATATGATATGTGGTTAAACATTTGATTCCTTTTATAATTATTCATGGTTTCATCTAAACCCAATTGAATTTTGAGATAATTTTAAGATGATAATATCATATAATTTTAAATAAAAATTAACAAAATCTTAGAAGAGAAGAAAAAAAGGGGAAACAATAGATTTTCCCGACACAACAAAAAGTAAAGGCATAAAATTCATTGATGCAAAAACAAGTATAGAAGAAAGAACCATATGTAGAAATCATCTTCATTACCAAAAATGTTCCTAAAAATGCTAACTCTGCTCTTAAATTAATAGCAAATATTTCCGCAGTGAGCTTGACTTGGTTGCATAAAGCAGTAGCAGTTAAATAAAATGACTGAAGGGCATAAGCTTTTTTTTAGTGAATATATAAGTAGGATAAGAACATTGAGTGAATGAAGGGTGGTAGAGCTCTAAGCCCAGTCTTTGCGGATGTCAAATGTATGGTTGATCTCTAAGTGGCACTTCTGGTCATCATCAAGAAACTGAAATAAAAGTTGTCAGTTGTATTAACCAAATGATAAAAAGGAATGTTGTTCACCCTAAAAGTTTCGAATCTGAGCAACTACGTTTGTAGGATTATACCTTTGATTTTGCAGTATATGATCCTCTAGAAAAAAAAACCCAGAAGGGGCCGTGTCTTCTGGCATTTCATGCGTGTAAGGCTCCAGCTGAGGGCTAAAGGTTCCAATCATATCTTTTGTGCTATAAACTGAACAAAGAAGATACAGATGGCTTACCCTTGACACCAGTTTTCCATACAGTGTTAGTGTACTTAAGGCCAGATACAATGTTGTTGCTCACTTGGAAGGAGAATTTCTAGCGATGGTGACTACCTTCTTTCAGCGTAAAGCATAAGCCCCCGGGCTTTCCATCTTCGGGAATCGGAAGAACCATGTCCGGCCTGTCTGCAGGCACGATCGACACGCTAAGAAACTTCACTTCTGGATAAAGTGTTTCTGCAAAAAAGAAAAAAATGTAGAATGCATAATCATATTCGATTCCGTAACTTGTTACATAATTCTGCAAGATGAGCACCTCCGATGTTGTTAATATCCACAGTTCCAAGAAGCTGATCTTTCCATTTCCTTAAGCTCTCGTCATCCTACACTTGTTAGAGAAATTGTATGTATTGTATAGAAATGGAAGTTAATAAAGAAAAGTGTGTGAGAATATGAAACCTTGTCTTTTTCAAGCTGTTGTCTGTGGACCCAAAGGAATAGCCTCGTCGGTATCATTATCACTGTCTTGGTGATGGGTTGGCTTAGTTTCAGGATTGCCAGTGGTGTGTTTAGTTTCCTCCTTGTCCTTGTTGTCACCTGACGACATATTAACTGCAATGTGGTACAGCCAAAGACATCAAACAGTGGAGATGGAAGAAGAACCAAAACCAGTTACTTTTGACCCTTCCCAAAACAAACAAAGCTCTTTCCTTTTCGGTGGTTGAAAAACCTCAAATGAGGAGCAGCACTTGGTGTTGCTTTGTTAATTTGATTTTGTTTCCAAGTTGAAAGGGTCGTGTGGTGATCCGAAATCTTCTGCACACATAAAATTAAAACTAATTTTGTTTCTAGTGCTTATTAAGGTTGGAGCTAGGGGAGGGCATGAGCATGATTGAAACATATAACAATGTGAGAGTAACCCTGGAAACGTGGGGGCATCTTTCTGAGAAAAAAATAGCCGAAAAAATAACATTAGAGATTAAGTACGAGGGATCATGAATATCCGTCGTAACTAAACCGAGCACGTTCACCGGTGTGGAAGTAAACACAAACATATCAAAAGAGTTTAGGCGTGCAAATTTAGTAAGAGCATCAGCTATCATGTTGCTCTTGCGAGACGTTCATTGAATTGCCGTTTTCTAACATTTCTGACGCAGATTATAGATTAGCTGGACTAGCAAAAATGAGTTTGCAGCATCATCTTTATTCTCTATCAGTCGAACAACAGTGAGGCCATCAGATTGAATTATGACAGGTTCAAAGGCCTGTTCCTATACTAGCCTTTAACCGAGAACCATGCCCAAAAACTCAGATTGGACCGCATTGCCGAATCCCCTAGTTTTAGTAATGCTAATATCTACGTTATAAGAAAATAATTGACTTAAAATTTTAATAAAGATAAAATATTTTTAGGATTTATCCACTCAATTGAGATATAGTTTGTTTCCGAGAGGTCGGCATTGAGTATTGAAGAAATACACATTTAAAGATGACTAAACCTCATGTCTATAATCATAACATTTTACATCTAATTTTAATTAATATTGAAACACATTTAATTAATATATAAAGATATTAAATACTAAAATTGATATATATTTGTATTAAAGTATTTTAAATTGAATTACTAAAATTTTAAATTTGTATTTGTTATCAAACTTTGTTATGGTTTAAAGGAGGTGAAAGAATAAAGTAATTAGAAATATGAAGGGTTCTATTAAAATTTTATGATTTATAAAAGAATCTTTTAAAAATATAATTTTAAAAAATACTTTTATAGTTTTAAAAATAAATTAGAATTTTTATATATTTAAAAAAATTAATTCTTTTTAGAATTATTGTTTAGAAATATTACAAAAGAAATAAAATAAATTTTTTGTTATTGTTGAGGGATCATATGAGATATTACTCATTAATTTAATGTGTCACATTATCCTGCAATGTGAATATTCAAAAACAATGTGGAACTCATTTTGTTTACCAAATTGATGGCATTTGGTAGAAATCATCAAAATAGTATAAGCTGTGATCCTGGCATGCATACTGCAAGGGTATTAGATAAAAAAATCAATACAAATAGTCCATTTTATCACAAAGAATATTCAGAGAGGCCAAGATCAGTATTGTCACACTAATAAAAATCAACCAGAACCTCAGATACAATCTGGCTGAAACACAAACCCAAATAACGGGACGAATTACAAAGAATACATTCCAGACAATACCTCATAACTTTGCCTGAGCAATCAGTATAGATCATAAACTCCATATCCATGATGTATGGCCACTCCCACGAGATGCATGAAACTTACGAGTGTATCCCGTGATCTCAGTTTACGTCTCATTCGAATCAATAACCCCTAAAAAGGTATCTCAAAACTGAAGCCTTAGGCACTTACCAGTTACCACAAAATCCCTTGCCATCTCTAACTCTAAGTTTAATTCTCCAAAACAGGCACTCCAGTTTGCTCTTAGATTATCCGAGACTGGAGGTGTGCAGAATTCACAGACCACCTGCATCGTAAGATTGTCTTTGCCTGCCATGTCATGATGGCCAAAACAATTTTTCTAGGTAGCAGTTCCTGAACCACGAGAGAGAGAAAATGTGTAAGTAAAAAGGAATCGACTCAAGAATACTAGAACTATAACAATGTTTTGGAAAGTAAATCACAAAACATATTCTGCAAGAAAATCAAAAGAGCATTTGGCTTATTCAGAGCTTTCCAGCCTGAAGCATTTGATATGATAGACATTATTTCATGAGCAGGCAATTGAATCTATGACCGTATGGCGGGAATGAGCAATCACAAAACTTTTCACACAACAATAAATCAGTAACCCAAACCCTGAGCCGATGTCCTTTAACAATAATTCAATCATAAAAGAACTTTAAAATGCCAACCAGGACTGTTGATGGTACACAATAGTATATGAATGAATCATTTGACAATTATGTTCAAAAGTTTCCCAAAAACTGTAACTGTAAACAAGTACATTCCTCATATGAAAGTTTTTAGGGTTCTTTTAGTTATGCTTCTACAACGCTTAGACAAGACTGAGCTACTAAACTCCAACAAAACTAAAGAGTAAAACATTTAGCAGAAATTTCCTCAAGTGAAAGATATAGAATCTTAGGATGCAGGAACAAGACTTACCTATATTTTCTTGTCTCTTATTATTAACACTATAACCGCTAACATAACCAGGAGAACTTTTACCGAAAACATCAGAAGTGGCACTACCAAGTCCATAGCCAAAGGAACCAGAAACACCTGGCTCGGATGTTGATGATTGCCTAGCGGTATCCCCATGAACTGAAGCACCACCATAAAGGTCTGCAAAGGTTTCATCATAACCACCATTTGATGCTAGATATGATGCTGTATGTGCCAAATTGGTCAGGCAGTTTCTTCCATACCCTGTTGTCCCCAAACCAAAGCTGTTATCATCGCTTCCATAGCCATATTTCACACAATCACTAGAAACATTACTCCTCTCATCTCGACTGGAAATTGTAGAACCCCAATTTATTCCATTGTTTCCAGAGTCACTTCCACCAATACTCCCACTTCCAGATCCCATATATGCACTGGAACCAGAAGCTTTTGTGTTGTAGTTGAGTCCCCCGTTTCCCCAAAGGTTCCGGGTCACTGAGCTGAAAAAGGAAGTATTACCTCCACTAGTTCCATCATACCCCATAGGATTACTACCAAATCTATTTGTATTACTAACATAGTAAGGGCTCAATCCTTGTCCATTGCTCATATTACTACTAAAATGTGCACTATTGCCGAAAGTTGGTTTTAACCTGGGCTCAATGTTCATGCCCATTCCATAACCAGAACCAAAAGAAGGAAACCCACTTTGACCACCAGTAACTGGACTCAATATCGCATCCATCCCAAGTCCATAACCTCCAACATTGCTTGGACCATATCCCTGAGTGTAGCCATTAAGGAAGCTGTTGATCCTATTCACATCATTGTTATATCCACAAAGGAGGCTATGATTGCGACTAGGAGATAACTCTTTGGGAACTGCTCGTTTAACCTCAACCATTTTACCGTTCAGTTCATGAAAATTCTTTAGCAACACCCTGTCCACTGCCTCTTCCGAATCATAAGTGATGAATCCGAAACCCCTAGTCCTTTGAGTGTTGTGATCATACATCACTACAACATCTGTGATATTCCCAAACTGATCAAAATACTTCTTAAAATCACTCTCTGTGACTGTAGATGCTAAACCTCCTACAAAAATCTTTCTTGTGCTGCCTGGACCAGGTGAACCATGGATGCTACTAGTGCTTCTACTCGTAATGTTCTGATCATCCCTAGGAACTGCCTTTTTTGCCTCAACCTGAGCATAAGTAACTCTGGTGAAAATAAAACTTATACAAGGCAAACTCTTTCAGCTTATAGGTAACTATACAAATCAAAGAGAACTCCAATCGTAACCAACGTCATTGCAAAGAAAAAAGATAAATAAAGGGAAACATTATTAATCTTGGCTCAAGTTTGGAATTTAGTTCGACACAAAACAAGGATCATACCAATTCCTGCAATTTCAATAGCGGGTTCATATCCAATAAACCTAATAGCATTGATGAATAGAACATTGCACAACAATAATCTAAAGAAGTGTGGTTATAAATTAACAACTCACCATCCTGCCATCAATGTTGTGTTTGTCCTTGATGACTCTCTCAGCAACAACCGGGTCTGCAAAAACAATGAAACCAAAACCACGAGAACGCCCTGTCATCCGATCCTTCATGATCACCGCTTCTACCACTTCACCGAAACTACTGAAATACTCCTTGAGACGATCTTCATTCGTGTCCCAAGATATCCCACCAATAAATAGCTTTCCATTCTCAAGCATCTTTCCTCTACATTGCAGAAAAAACTAGTTCCATCAGCACGAAGTCCAAGCTATCTCAAACGCAAATGTACTTGCATTAACATAGAAAGCCAAATTCATTATTGGATTCAGTGCAATGCTTTAATTACAACAACAACAACAACAGACCAATCAAAAAGACAAAAACCAACACCAAAATATTATTTTTATCTGAATAAAATTAATAATAACACATCAAAGGTGTATCTTTTATTGACTACTTATAGCAATCCAATCATAATAATGAAGACACAATTCAATACCTTTTCTTTAACAAGAATAATCCGATACAAAACCAATCTTTTTTTCTCTCTGGTTCAAAATTTAGAAACAAACAGATCTTTCCACGATCAATCTACCCACCAACCCAGAAATTAACTTCACCTAAAATTAAGAAATGAAAAGGAAAAAACCCAGATGGTTGATCAATCAATACAGCTGCAAAAGTTTTGGAAAATTTAAGCAACAGATTAAAAAAAACTGAAAACCAGATTCAGCAAAAAATGACCGACTAATCAAAGGAAACCCAAGTACCAAATCTAGCAACAACAACAAAAAACTGAGAGGAGGCAAAATCAGAATAGAATAGAGGAGGTTAGTTTCATCCTCCTCTTCTATTCGCCTTCCCCTTGAAATAAATATTTCCTTATTACTGTAGCCTTTCTTTAAGAAAAAAATCCAATAGTTGTTTTCTTTTATACCCAAAAATGCAAATTCAGTTACAAATATGTATTGCAAGCTTTATTTAGAGAGGAAGATGGAGAAGTAGAGAAATTGTGGATAAATAGAAAAATGGAAATGGAAGACAAGCCTCATTTTATTTCCTTAATTTGTCTTAAACCGAAAAGTTTGCTTTTAAGACAAATTTTACGTAAAATTACGACCTGTAATGATGTTTAAATGTACCCCTTCTGAATATAAGAGTATTTTCCTATTTCAATAACTAAATTGTTTAGAGCATATAATACAACAAGTTTTCTCTAAAATTTATTTTAAATTTTAAAACTTCCATTTTGATTTAGATAATAGTAGTTGAATTTAAGTTAAATTTTAATATTAATTCTATATCATAGATAAATAAATTTAATTTTTAATTTATAGTTTAATTCTTTTGAATTTCCGTATCATTTGGACCGATATTAAATTTTTTTAAATTAAACAAGTACAAAAATTAAAATCAATCAAATTAAAATAAAAGAATTGGTTTGATTAAAAAAATAGAAATTGATTCTTAATGTGTATTTTATTAGATAAAAATAATTTTCAGCATCTAATTTTGACATTTATTTGTGATGTGATATATGCAAACTTCTTTTGAATGTTGTGATTAGATATTTAACTTTATTTTAATGAAATTAGGTATCCAAAATTTTTATGCAATTAGATACCTAAGACTTTTTAAAACTACATGTGTTCACATTCAAAATTGTTGCACATAACTTTTTTTTTTTTGTAATAAGAGAAAGTAGGCTGCCCCAATGCCAGGTTGAGAGCAGTTTCCGTGGAAGATCTCCGTTATGAATTGTCCTCAGTGGAACTCGATCACACGACCACAAGGTTAAGAGTCTTGTGCTTTACCAACTGAGCTTGAGCTAGACGGGCAAGACTTTTGAATCTATAATTCATAGTATCCCTTTAATTAAATATAAATCAATCCTAATTGAATATGTGTAATTAAAAAAATTAAATATTTAACTATACCATTAAAACATTTTAAATATTTAATTATACTAAAAATAACATATAAAAACTAAAATCGAGTAGCAAAAAATATATTTATTTCATTATGATATATATTATCATAATTTGGATATATATTACGCGAACAAAATAATGTAAAAATAGCTTTATGGGCAAATTGTTTTGAACAAGAAATGGTGCATCTCCATAATCTCAAACAAATCAAAACTAGAAAGACCAACAGCTGAATCTGATATTGATCAAGGAATAAAGGGATATTGGCAATTGTTATAACCTGCAGCAGTAACATGTAAGAAAAATATTATTACAAGCACGAGATCAATCACAAAAGATTTCTTAAACATTTTCATCTTCCTTTGTGCTACCTAATACCCTAATGCTTTGCTTTTTAGCATTGTTAAGATGCAAGTTGCTTCCTAAATCTGACTATCCAACACCAAATTACAGCTATCTCACATGACTCTAGGCACATGCATACATGGAAATGGGAATTTTTTTTCTTCAGAAGTTTCCATGTGCAAAATAATAAAGAAAAAAAAACACAACGCATAGTTAATATAGCTGCTTACTGGGATCGAGTTCTGTAATCATGGCAGCTCCTCCGAAGTTGCAAGATCCGCCATTGTGCTTGAACTTTTGGAAGTGGTCATTGAATGCATAGGAAGCGTGGTTTCTCATGGTGTCGGGGAAATAACAACCCTGGTTCGTCTGAATCTTACTGCAATCCGCACCGCCGCTCCCACAAGCCCAATCCATGGCTGCCTTTAACTCATCATCTGGGGTTTGCTCATCAGCTATGCACCACTGCTCAAATTCTGCAGCTGTTCATATAACAACACCGACACTAGTTAAACACCATGACGATATTGGAGTCTGAAAAAAACACGAGTTTTGGATCAGGAGAAATGACACCTGATTTTGGAGGAATTGTTGACATGAGTGGAAGAAGAAGCATTATCCTCGTGGCCAAAAAGATTGACATTTTTCCTTCTAGAGAGAAACGGAAAAGGAAACGGATTATCAACTCAGAAATCTGAAAACGGACAATCAGTGTCCCTTGTATTGTATATTATATACTGAAAGCCTTGAGATAAAGTGTTAGTGGTCATTTTGGGTTCGTCCCTCTGCAAAAAATAAGAGATTATGATAACAAAACGACGTTGTAGCCATGTGAACGTAGCTGTCTTTTTTAACCTTTTGCTTTTACAACAGAAATGTTAAGCGGTGCTTAATAATGCTAATTAAACTATGGTATTCGATTCATTAACCGATAAATATATGTTAGTAAACACAAAAAACTTTTAAAAGATTGAACTTTCCCGTGTCATGTCAAACAACAAATACGTTACGTCGGAATTGCAGAAGCCAATAAAACAGTTGAAAAACGTAAGCATTCGCTATACCAAATACAACAGTTCCGCACATCCTTACTAATGAAATTCTGTTTACAGGTAAAGATAAGAAGAAAAGACACTGCAAAGAATCGTCCACCAACCTTAAAATCTCACCTTCCAGAAACCCCTAAACCTGAAAATAAAGAGGGGAACATGTTCTCTCACGGTCTCACCACTCAATCCTAAAATCCTTGGACTTGAAAAACTTACAAAAACAAAAGGGGTCATTAGCTTTAAACTAAGAAAATGAATATTGGTAATACCATATGCCAAGAGAAAGACCTACAAATCCTCAACCCTAGCAAGACAGATGATACTATTCACGGGTTTTTCTTTCTCCATCCTCCAATGGATTTTACACTTTTCAACTCCAGCCAATGATGTATCTTCTTGATTCCCCTCCATTCAAACCTATTGGAGGTGAGCTCCCAAAATTACCCCAAGATTGGATATTGAATGTCTTGGTTGGTTGGTTTACAAAAAAAAAGTATATGGCCCTGCTTCAGTAGTTACTGGACCAGTTCATCTGTGCATGTTGTGGCTGCCGATAAACACCAGCAGCAGATCCCCCCATATTAACAGCTCCAGCCATAGTCTGAGCCTGTTGTAGAAGAGGATGAACGGCTGCTGCTGTTGCTGCTTGTGGGTGATATATACCAGCAAAGGAGCCAGGAACAACTTGTGTAGGAGCAAAAGTTACATTCTGACCTGGAGGGGCAAGATTATAGAATGAACTTGGCCGCAGGCTGGATATGTCTCGCCCAGGGGGAGCAATCCATACAGCTGAACCTTCACTCTACAAGAAAGTAAATAAGTTAAACAATCATCTTAGAAGAGAAAGTTGTTTGGAGAAAAAAAATTAACGCCTAATATATTCAAGAATGTCAAAATCCCAATGACATTTTCTTTCCAAAACCTATGTTTATCCTTATCAGAAAGGAAAGGAACAAGCAACTGTATTAGGTAGAACCATAAGAGACAATCAAATCAAGTGATGAGAACTTGATCACCGTTGATAGGCAATTAACTAACATGAATTAATGGCCCCTAAAAATTCCTAAAACTAAAAGAATGGTCATCCTCTGTCTGCCGTGACAAACACTTTTGAGTATGCACTAGTTTGCTGTTAATTCAAACCAATATCAAAGCTACCAATTTTACATTTCTTATTTTCTGAACTTAGCCCGCTCTTACATTCTTGTCTTATTTTGCCAATTTAGTCCATTATATGGCTGGTTCACTAGTATCTATTAAAATATAAAGATTGTAATGTGATCATCACTGGGAAAAGAAAACTAGAAGAAATTGGGACATGAACCTACCTACAAAATCATTGTTTCAAACATTCTCATAGTATGTCACAAATAATTCTTTAAAGAAATAAGACAAGGAAATCAAAGCAAGAGATGGAAATGGGAATATGGTGTCAACCTGCTGCCCAGTGACGTAGACATTGTTTTCCTTGAACTTAGCACCACCAAGATCTTCATTTGTGATTGAATTCCCAGTGGCCACAGCAGAACTTGGATTATAACCGGCTGAGGAGCCATATGGTCCATAACCACTTGGAATTCCAATATGAGCAGAATTTGGTGTATCACTTCCGGGTTTAAATTGAGGAAGTGAAAATTTGACTCCTGCAGTAGGTGCTGCTGGTGCAGAAGGATAAACAGTACCGACTTGAGGTTGTTGAGGAAACAACCCATTGTTTATAAATTGGTGGATCGCAGGAGAAGGAACAAAAAAAGGAGAGTAAAAGGGGGCATATTGAATGTAGTTTGGAGGATAATGTGGTAAATGCACCCCAGATGCTGAGCGGTAGACAGGGACTGGTTGCTGAGTCACAGCTATAGAACTTTGCATCATCCCAGCAGCTTGAGTCGCTACTGGAGATGAACTACTTGTAGTCAGTACCAAAGAGTTTCCACCCTGCCAAAAGATGAAACTCAGCTCCAGTATCCAACAGTTACAAACTAAGTTTGAAAGAAACTCTCTTACTACCCTAAGATTATGATAAAGAAATACACTAATCTCCCAAAGATATAATTTTAGAAGTCAATTTCCCCAAATTATTTGCCTAGAGTAATCCTATCCATTAATCACGTGAGGTTCAACAAACATCCCAGGACCAAACTGGAAGCAGAAAAAAGTCTAAAGCAACAATGTGTTGTCAACAATGTTCACAGAACACCGCCAATAACGGCTCTTCAGTATATGGCATAATATAACTTGCTTAATCTTAATCTCCGCAAACCTCTTGAGCACACTGAGATGTCTGTGGAGGAAGAACCGCAACATTCCCATTGTACTTTGTAGCAACTCCGGAGGGAAAGGGAGAAACACGAACATCAGTATCAGAACTAGAACGGTAGAATTGGGCATAATAAGCTGCCGGGTCAAATGGCTGAGGAACCTGTAGATTGAAGCATTTAATAATGAAAGTAATATTAGAACCAACAATTGGCATAGTGCAACTGACTTTAATGAAACAATATTTCAGACTATTGCAATCAGAAAAATGACAAAAAACAAATGCATACTGAGAATATAAAAACCTGCAAATTCAAAACTCTATTCATTTACTCTGTTTCTTCTATTTTCTACATAAAAGCCAAGCTAAAAAAATTAAGCTTGAAAAAGATATAGAAACCAAAAGAGCGACATCTATTAATGAAATGAATGGTGCAAGTGGATGCTCACAACAAAGCTTGAAAGGCGAGAAACTTCACGGGCTTGAGATTCAGCATTTCCGAAAGGTGCTAACATAGGAGGCACAATTCCAAAACTATAATTGGGAGATGTTACTGCAGAGTGTTGATGGCTTCCAGAGAGCAATGCATTCTCCTGTTTGTTTTCATTATACTCTGGAATGGAACTAGCAACACCACCATCACGAGACAAATTTTCAGGTGCATGAGCAGCTGATTGAGGATGATCAGTGTAATCTCCTTCCTCAGCAGTAGCCAATGCATTTTGATTGCTGGAATCAACAATATAACAAAAAAATACCACGAGCCAGGCATGCAAAAGAGACCAACTAGTAATAAAGATTATGATAATTAAAAAGAGTAGAGTTGCTTATTCTGTGGGGGAAAAGAGGTCAACATTGCCAATAAGAAAGAGAATTAAAAAGTTACATCCATTGGAAACTCTTAACAAACCTTGAACCCTGTTCCTCGGCAGTTTCATGAACATCTTGAGAAGCCTCAGACAAATGTGTAGAACTCTTATCAGTCTCCTGACTACCAACATTGTTTAATGCTACTCCAAAACCAGCATCAAAACTTCCAAAACTCAGCTTGATTCTTTCTGATTCTGGGACATGGATATGGTCGGGAATTATTACATGTTGACGATGTGGGAAATGTAATTCCTCCAACTTTTTCTGCAATTTTGAAGTGGCTACTTCTGACTCAAATGAAACGGGCAACGAATGAGCATTAGTTTCAAGTGAAAAAATAGGAACTTCGGATGCACCAGCTGTTCCAGAACCTAGCCCAATATTAGAGTTGATTGGCTTTGATTTCCACTCCTTATTAGAACCAACTGTTGATGGGAAATAGGGAATTATTAATACTTAATCACATATCTTTAGCATCCCTTTCAACTATCTTAAGATAAGAACATAGAGTGGTTCAATGATTTGTCAGTATCGACCAAAATAGCTTCCAAGACCACACATTTTAGTTGAAATTTGTCCAACCATTGGTAATAATATGAAAATAAAAACCAAGCATACTTGAGCTAAAGATAAAAATTAGCCATTTTAACCTTTTGTTTGCATAAGAACTCATCACCTATCCTACCAAGTTATAATGACGATTTTCATCCAAGAATTATAATTAACATTGTACATACTTTAGTCTTGCTCAAATGTTAATGATGCATCTTTACCAAGTTATATGTTCCAATTATGATAAGGGCTAAACTAATGAGTCTGAACATTTTTCAAGCAAACATGTAATCAAGTAAATTTTCCTACAGTAAATAATGCTACATAAATGCCATCTCCAAAAACCAATAAAGCTACATAAATAAATCTGACACGTAGTCAACTAAATTTTCCTACAGTAATTGTCAGAAACATCCTTGTAATACTAGTAATCTAATTCGTTTAGGAGTCTTTTAGGAAAAGAAAGATAAGTATTAGGAGTACTTAATCTAGATAGAAGTTTATACTTAGTAGAAAAGTCCTATCAGAAGTAGGCAACTCAATATATTTAGACTCTTGTAATCTCCTACTTCAATTATCAGATTTTGTTCTTGTGTGAACTCCATTATTTTTTTTTCTTCTCTCGCGGTTTATTCTCTTTATTCTTTCCTTCTCTCTCAATCTATTCCCTTAGATTTCAACAGCAATAAAGCTAAATAACTGCCATCTCCAAAAACCAATAGATCTTGAAACCAAGGCTAGATCTAGAAAACATAAGCATCTATGTAGGATCATAAGCATCTATGTAGGATCCAGCTAAAACAAATCAGAACATCAATAGCTTCTTTCTTTCTCTGTGTACAAGGAAGGATTATAGCACAAAATCCACAATATTTGTCCAGCTTTGTGCAATAAGTTACATAAATCAAACAAAAACACATCTCAAAGTCAACTATGAACTAATGCATAAAAATAGAATATTCCAATTACCTTTCTGAGGGTCAATTATTTGTTGCGAGCGGCTACTATAATTGGATGAAGGCCAAGTTGCAGAGGAACCATGGGTTACTGTAGATGAAGGATGAGCAGACTCACCCAGCGGATTGTTCACAACTGCGGAGGATTTGCTTGGCATCTTTCCTTGCAGGAAGGAGCTACTAGCCTCAGTAGCCGCTATAAGTCGAAGAAAGAAATTAATCAGATTTATGACTAAACAAAATAAAAGTTGTTCAAAACTATTAGGATTCCAAAGTCTTTACCAGATGCTAATTTGTTTTCAATAGGAATAACTGCATTTGGTTCAGTAGAAGCTCGGTTTTTTCCTGTTTCATGTTTGATTGTGTCCAATGAGCCAAGGAGCCGAGAAACATTGGATGGAACTAGTGCAGGTTCTGAAGACGAGAAGGATGCTAATTTGTTTTCGGTAGGAATAACTGCATTTGGTTCTGTAGAAGCTCGGTCGCTTTCCTGTTTGATAGTGTCCAAAGTGCCAAGGAGATGAGAAACATTGTGTAGAACTGATTCGGGTTCTGAAGATGAGAAGCAGATTGCTGATGAAGATGCTGGAGCAGTGGACATGGAAAAGTCACTAGAGGTTGCTGCAGGATGCCCACTCATGTCCCCACTTCCAAATGCAATAGTTGGTTTGCTTATGGCATCAACAGGGGATTGTGCACTCCTTAACTCACTGTTACCAGCAGATGATTTTTCTTTACGTTGATTGGCAGCTTTTCTTGCATGTGCAGAAAAGGTTTCAGCCACTACACCAGGAGTACCATTGACCATGGCAGGTACAGGACTATAAAACATAAAAATGTAAATCAAACAAACTGTACTTAAGTGAAGTCATGTTTTCAGCAATCGACAAAAAATGAAAAATATAAAAGATAGCAGATATGTAAATTGCAGCCACCTGACAATGAGCGTAGATTCTTTTGTTTTTGTGTCCTGCAAGGTTGACATGGACTGACCACCACCTTTCTCTGCAACTTGATCCATTCCATTGTCTCTTCCATGACCAGAACTCTTAGAAACACCAGCCTCTGGTGAGATAAGCAGACAACAATTACAATAAGCACAATTGCAAACAAAATATATATAGCACAAGATTTACGACATTAAAATAAGCACAGATTCATGAGTCATGACCATCTCATATATCAAACTGAAAGAATTGCAAAGTATAATAACAATAGCACATCAACAACCACCACAGCAGCACCACGGGTTAGTAACCAAAACCACATATGAAACAGATAATAAAATAAAAAATATTGCAAGGATGAGGGTAGATAAAAACAGGTTCAAAACAAACTTAACAACTTGTTCATTGACCCGGCAGTAAACTAGCCACATGGATGAAACAAAAGCAAATTTACAAGGCACAATCAACTCATATTTTCAGAAGCCCGACAGTATTAACTAAATAATCATCATAAACAAATTTGGGTTCTGAAATTTCTTTTTACCATGTGCTGTGTAACGTGGAGGGAAATTCCCTCGGCCACCCCTAGTCCCCCTTCCCTGTGAACCAGATCGCCACCGAGGCTCTGTAGACTCTTTGTTGTTCGAACTCTGCCATAAAAAGTGACAATAGCACATTAACCACATAATATAATAAACTAGTCTCCCTAGTACCTTTTGTACTCTCTCTTCAGCCTTTCGTCCTCCTGTTGTCAACCAACCCCATACACCCCCGACACTTCATACCCCATATTCTCCAGCCTACAGATTGAGCTTAAAAAGAAATGCAATTGGCTATGGATAAAACACAAATTGGCGGTAGTTACCTATGCCTCTTATCCTCTATCGCCAATCAAATTTGTGCTTTGCTTATTCATCATATAATACCTTTCCAACTCTCCTAAACAGATATCAATAAGTTTCAACATAGCAAAAACAGAAAATGTTGAACTTGCAGAAACCCAAAAAACAGTAAACACTTCAAATTTTGCTGTAGAATCACTTACCTCTTTTCGCCTGTCATGTTTTCTTTTGACTTCACGGAAAGGATCTGAGGAACAATATACAAATTTGTCATGTATTTGGAAGCAAAGCAAAATGATAGTAAGATGGTTAGAAAGAATGCGGCAATTAAAACTGTAATATATGAGAAGCAAGCAATAAAATATAAACAAGAAAGTACCATACGCTACTACATATATTTCCGACAGCTGTTTGCTAAAAACCAAGCCATAACTCGTATGAACTAAGGAAACGTTAAGCTTACATGACAAAGGCCATAATATGATATCGATGCTCAACTTGATACCAAACTGAAGTAACAACCAACATCTAAATATCAGAAAGCATGGAATAAGAACAGACAATAACAAAATATATAAGAGAAACCTAAACCAATAAAACTTCTAAGGGTTAATAAGTCACAGATTGAGCAGATGCATATCACCACATTAAGCTTCCTCAATAGACTTGATTTGGTATTGAATGCTGACTAAAAGCTTCACTTAACAGGCATACAATTCTACAATTCATTAGAAAGACAAATAGTGCTATGATAGTAAATGCCACATGTACTATGTGCCTAAAAATAAAATATTTGAAGGGAAAAAAAAGAAAATGAGAAAATTGAAATTGAAAACCTTTTTTTCAAATATGATAACAGAAAATGGTAGATTAATGAAAATGCAACAGAATCAAAATGTCTGAATTCATGAGATGAAGGCGGGAAATTAAAAAAAATGGGCTTCAAGAGGATAAATTTTGCAGAAAATACGATCATTTAAGAAGCAACTTAATCAAAAACTCCATTTCTAGAGCTCATTTTATTTTTTAAAAATCGAACAACAAACAATTATGTAATTGTCAAAGGGGGAAAAACGAGGCTTGACATTCATATATGAAAGAACCAGGAAAAATGAAAAAAAAATATAAATATCAAAATCAGGATCTAATATAATCCAATGAACAATGCAACCCATCAGAACCAAAAATAAGTATATAAATACCAGAAAATAGCATACTGCAGTCCTAAGCAATAACACCCAAATCACTAAAATGAACTTCAGATCAAAGACAAACTCAAAAGGCATAGATCAAACTAAAACAACAAAAACCAAAAAAATTAAAACAAATTAAAAAATTCAACCCCATTGAACAGCTCCTGTACAAGGAAGAAAAAGAAAATCTACCCCATTGAAAATATCCAAAAGAGAAATCGAAAACTTAGCTAAAAATAACTTCAAAGAAAATGAAAACGTACCCTGAAGGAGGAGCCTCTGAGCGGTTTCATTGGGACCCATAGAACATTCTTTAAGCATTGCATAAATCTCATCTTCACTATGATTACCCGTGATCTCTTTTATGTTTTGGATCGTTTTCCTTACACTGTTGGGGATTGATGAAACCCTAAACCCCCCACCGCTCATCTTCTCAGACAAATCGGTTCTTCGTTCTTTTTTTCTTTCACTTTCCCCTTCAAACAAAGCGCTATCTCCTTCCCAATTCCCTTTTGGTATACCACTTTTAACTATATATTTTCTATATGATAAGTATATAATTAATGATAATAGTATTTATTTTGTTCTATTTTGAGTGTACACGAAGAAGGGAGAAAATGGATAGCTGTAGCCTGTAGAGTGAAGAGGAACTTCAAAAAATACTTTTTAATTGATTAAAGAAAGAGAAAGAATAAAATGTTAGAAGTTTTTCGGTGTGATACCTTTAATATACTGTTAAAAAAAATGTTATCGGTTTTTTTATTATTTAAATAATAAAATCGGTAAAAAATTACTTAAAATAGTATTATTTTTATCGATTTTGTTATTATTGGACGCTTTACAAAACTTGATAATATATTCGGTAAAGCGCTACTTAAAATATTATTTTTCTACCGGATATATTACCAAACTCGGTAAAGCGCCCAATAATAACAAAACCGATAGAAATAATAATGTTTCCGGTAATTTTTTTTCCGATTTTGTTATTTAAATAATAACAAAACCGATAATACTTTTTAATAGTATATTAAAGATACCTCACATGATCATTTCCAAAAAATGTAAGTGAGAATGAGCAACGTTCAAATGGAAGTGTTATTAGGTTTTCATTTATTATTTTAGGGTTTAGTGCATGGTGAATTGAATGTCGATGTGAATAAGTGAATGCCTTTTTCTCTAACTATTTTTAATGATATATTTTTCTCTACTCATAAATTATTCCTTAAATTATATTATAAAAAGTTAAATATATTATTATTGTATATCAATATTTAATATATATAATTTGTTAATGAGAATAAATTTATTTCATCGGTCATTAACCGTTCACTTCTTATAAATTGGACGAATAATTATGATGGTGAGGAAACAATCGTTAGTCAGTGTTTCTTTATGATTGAAATGAAGATATAATGAGATACATGGGACTAAAGGGGAAGAAAGTAAAGAAGAACCCTCAATTGTGGTTGAAGAATATTTATAGCGACTTTACTTGATGGTGTTAAACACATGGTTATTATGTCTATTTGTAGGTCAGCACACTAAATAGATATGGTAGATAAACTCTTGGATTTCGTGATGGTATATCATGTGAGTCTATCGAAAGTCTTGCCCATGCATTATGGCAACTTAGAGGATATGGACTCTTGAAGACTCCAGTAAGTGAAGAGATTCATTCAGTATTTTGAAAACATTTTGATGTTTCAATATAACAAATAAAATATTATTGAATTTTAAGATTTTATATTCATTTTAAATTATTTGAATATAAAAAATAGTACTCCAAGTTTTCAAAGGTCAATTTTAATCCTTACTTAAGTGTAAAATTGTGTTTTAATCTTAAAATATTTTTGAAACAATTTTTACTAAGTATTTTGAACCATACTTGAGCCAAAAATAATTTTTACAAAGGGATGTACAGATACACTCCAGTATATACCGATACACCCTGTACATCGAATGTATTTAGTGTACCGATACACTCCTAGCTCCGAGAAACATCGAATGTAATTAGTGTACCGATATACTAGGTCAAATAATGATCGAAATATTTGAATTTTACATTGAGTGTACCGATACACCTTGATAGTGTACCGATATACCTACACTCCCAACATATTTTTTAAATGGGAAATATACCTCAACAGCTCTATTGACTTCACCAATGATCCCCCAACGTTCAGAAGTGGTCCAATGTGTATTTAAACAAGCTCAGGAGCCATTGATCAATAACAATTAAGAAGAAAAGCTAGAGAATAAAAGAGAAAACCTTAAACTTATTGTTTGAGCATTTCCAAGCCTATTTCCATTCAATATTCATTTTACTTTTAAGAACATAATTTGTGCTCAATTGTATTAATTCTTGAGTGTTCTTTCTTTGTTCTAGAATTATGCAAACAATTTACCTTATGAGATTTTTCTGTAATTTTGTAAATTTGTAATCTTTTCTTTGAGAGAGAGTGTTCTCAAGAATTTGGGGTATAATTTTTGAGGGAGTTATAAGGTTACTCTTTGTCCTCAAAAGAAAGAACAAATTAGTGAATTTATTGGAAAATCCTTAGTGTGGATAGCTAAGGTAGTGGACGTAGACTTGGTTGAGAAGTCAAACCACTCTAAATCGTTGTGCAAATATTTTCAATTTTCTGTAAAAGCTTCTACCGAAATTTTTATTGTCAATTTACCCCCTCTTGGCTATTTTATTGATCGATTAACTTAACAATTGGTATCAAAGTCTCACTCATTTGAAGGTTTAACTACTTCTTGAGTCGATTCGGGAAGAATTATATCGATAATCAAGTCATCAATGGCCTCCACTTCAAACTTCGACTTCGTTCTCGATTCTCAGACTGTCAACAAGTCTCCTTTCTTCAATGGAGCTAATTATGCTTATTGGAAGAATATGATGAGGTATTTCATTCAAGCAATTGACATGGGAGCTTGGAAAATCGTAGTGAACGGATACTCTGAACCTTCCACAGACCCAAATGTGTGGAGTGAAGAAGAGACGAGAATGTTCCAGCTCAACTCAAAAGCTATTCATATTCTATTTTGTTCTCTTAGACCGGATGAATACGGGAGAGTTTCATCTTGTACAACCGCCAAGGAGATATGAGATAAACTACAAGTCACTCATGAAGGCACCAACAAGGTAAAAGAATCTAAAATAAGTCTTCTTATTCATAGCTATGAAAATTTCAGGATGAAACCGGATGAAGACATAAAAACTATGACGGATAAATTTTCCGTGATTGTCAATGGTCTCAAATCATATGGAGAGATCATTCCAAACGAGTAGCTTGTGAGGAAGATAATTTATTCTCTTCCAAAAATTTGGCAATCGAAGAAGACGACGATTATCGAGGCTAAAAACTTAAAATCTTTAACCCTCGATGAGCTAATTGGTTCTCTCCTCACGCACGAAATGATGATTCAAGATGAGGTAGGCCTTGAGAAGAAAGACGAGACAAAGTAGGAGACGGAGAAAAAGAAGAACATTGGAGTTGCTCTCAAATCCATAAAAGTTGAGAGTGGTTCTGATGAAGATGACGATGACGAGGAAATGACATTATTTGTCAAACGATTCAGAAAACTAATAAAGCCCAATAAAGGAAGAAAATTCAAACAAAATGAAGGCTTCAAGAGTGAACCGAATGAGAAATACCCTATTATTTGCTATGAATGCAAAAAGCCTAGGCATATCAAATACGATTGCCAGCAATTGAAGAAGAAGGGTCAATCAAAGAAGAAGCACAAGACATACGTGGCTACTTGGAGTGATGACGATGAATCATCAAATGAAGATGAACAAAAAGTAGTGAACCTGTGCTTGATGGCCACCGGGGATGACTCTCAGTAATCTCTTACTCATTTGATTTCGAAGATTACTCTTATGATGAGTTAGTAGATGAATATACTGGGTTGGCTTCGGATTATGAGAAATTATTTTCGAAATATAAGAAAGATATTTCAAAATTGAAAAATGAAAAATAATCTCTTATCCAAGACCAACAATGATCTTGAAAGCAAAATTAATTAATTGCAAATCAAAATCAAAGATTTTGAAAATAAAAATTCTGATTTGCATAATTTACTTTCAAGAGTCAACGATGATCATCAAAAAGAAATTGATGATCTTAAAGCTTCTTTTGATAAAGTTGGAACAAAACATTTTGAAAAATGACAAAGTTCAAAATCCAACTATATTAGAAAAGGCTTTAAAAACTACAATCATAGATATCCCCAAAGAACCTCTAATGGTAAAATCGTTAGAAGTATATGGATTCCTAAAGAACTCATTACTACTAAAGATAAGGATATCCTACACAAATGGATACCTAAGAGGACTAGGATTTTAGGGACTAATGAATATGGACCCAAAATAAAAAATTAAACTATGTTTGTAGGAAAATGTGCATTGCTACAAGGCATAAAATACATGTTCAAATTCATGGTTCCTTGATAGTGGATGCTCGAGACACATGACCGGAGACAAGAGCCGGTTTATAGAGTTTAACGACAAAAATAAAGGAGTGGTAACCTTTGGTGACAACTTAAAATGTTACATTGAAGGTATAGGTACTACAGGTAATACATCTTCCATACAAATAGAAAAAGTATTATATGTGAATGGATTAAAGCGTAATCTATTGAGTATTAGTCAATTATGTGATAAAGGACACAATGTCTTGTTTGAAACTAATGGTTGTAAAGTTATTAACATTGCATTTAATTGGATTATGCTTTTTGGTCATAGAATAGGAAACATTTACATGGTGCATTTAGATTCTATAAATATGACTAACTTGTGCCTAGTTGCTAATGATGAACATGATAGTTGGTTATGGCATAGGAGACTAGGACATACTAGCATGAGCGTTTTACAAAGATAAATTCAAGGAAATATAGTTAGAGGATTGCCAAAGCTAAAATTTGATAATGATAAAATCTGTGATGCATGTGCTAAAAGAAAACACAAAAGAACCTCCTTTAAATCCATTAATGATGTATCAACTAGTAGAATATTACAATTGATCCATATATATCTTTTTGGGCCAAATAGGACTACTAGCTTGGGTGGAAAACAATATGCATTTGTTTTGGTATATGACTATTTTAGATATACTTGGGTTCTATTATTAAGTACTAAAGATGAAGCATTAGAAAATTTCATCACATTTTCAAAAGTAATCCAAAATGAAAAATGTTACTCCATTTCTGGTGTTAGGGGTGATCATGGTACTGAATTTGAAAATCATGGATTTACTGAGTTTTGTAATACTAATGGTATTAGCCATAATTTTTCAGCACCTAGAACCCCTCAACAAAATGGAGTTGTTGAGAGGAAAAATCAAACTTTAGAAGAAATGGCTAGAACCATGCTTTGTGAAAACAATTTGCCAAAATATTTTTGGGCTGAATCCACAAATACTGCTTGTTATTTTATTAATCGAGTAATGATTAGGCCAATTTTGAAGAAAACTCCATATGAAATTTTCAAAAATAAAAAGCCTAACTTTAGTTATTTTCATCCTTTTGGATGAAAATGT